CAACAAAAACATCTTCCTGGTATTCTCTGCTTTCAGTCAAGGGCCATCTGACGTCAGCAATGATATCCCTAGTTCTATATCCTCTTCTGAATTCAGCTTAATTTCTGGCAGCTCCCTGTCGATATACTGCTGCAACAGTTTTTAAAGTATCTTCAGCAGAATTTTACATGCATGTAACACTAATAATATTGTTGGATGATTCCTGTGTTACATTGGGTCATCCTTCTTTTGGAATCATCACAAATATGGATCTCTTCCAACCGACTGGCCAGGTAGCTGTCTTCCAAATTTCTTGGAATAGATGAGTGAGTGCCTCCAGTGCTGCATCAGTTTGCTGAAACATTTCAACTTGTATTCTGTCAATTCCTGGAATCTTGTTTTTCACTGTTGCCTTTGGTGCAGCTTAGATTTCTTCCTTCAGTACCATTAGTTCTGAATCATATAATAGCTCTTGAAATTGTTGAATATCAACCAATTCTTTTTGGTATAGTGATTCTGTGTATTTCTTCCATCTTTTGATATTTCTTATGTTATTTAACATTTTGCCCATAGAATCTTTTAGTATTGTGAACTGAGGCTTGCATTTTTTTTCTTCAGTTCTTTCAGCTTGAAAAATGCTGAGTGTGTTCTTCCCATTTGGTTTTCTAACTCCAGATCTTTGCATATTTTGTTATAATATTTTACTTTGTCTTCTCAGACTGTTCTTTGAAAATTTGTTTAGTTCTTTTACTTCCTTTTTTCCAATTGCTTAGCTTCTTTTACCTCTGTTTTTCCAGTTGCTTTAGCTTCTCTATGCTCAACAGCAAGTTTCAGAGTCTTCTCTGACATCCATTTTTGTCCTACCTTTCCTGTCTTTTTAATGACCTTTCTTCATGTATGGTATTCTTGGTGTCACCCCACAACTCTTCTGGTCTTTGGTCATTAGTGTCTAATGGATCCAGTCATGTTTTGGTTCTTGTGGGCTTGTTATAATTTTCTTTAGCGTTAGCCTGAACTTGCAAAGAAGCAACTGATGGTCTCTTCTGTTCCACAGTCTGTCCCTGGCTTTGTTCTAGTGGTTGATACCAAGCTGTTTCCATCATCTCTTCCCATAGATACATTCAATTTGATTCTAGTATATTCCATCTAGTGAGGTCCACATGAAAGTCACCTTTTATGTTGTTGAAAAAAGGTATTTGTAATGAATAAGTCTTGTAAAATTCTATCATGTGATCCTTTCTATCATCAATGCTGCATTTTTGAATGCTGATCCTTCCTTGTTATTTCTAATTTTTGCATTCCAATTTCATTCCACTGCTGGTGGGAATGCAAAATGGTACAGCTATTATGGAAAACAGTGTGGCACAGCCATTCTGCTTCTATGCTATACACCCCAAAGATTTGAAAACAGACTAAAAAAGATACCAGTATATCTGTGTACATTGCAGCATTGGTCAAATAGTCAAAACGTAGAAACAACCCAAATGTCCATCAGCAGATGAATGAATAAACAAATGTGGTGCATATATACAATGGAATACTATTCAACTGGTAGGGGACATTGTCTTGATACATGCTACAGTTTGAACAGAGTTTTGAAGACTTTATACTGAGCAAAGGATAAAAAATTACCAATTACAAACGGACAAATAGTATATAACCTCACTTATATGAAAAGACAAATGTATAGAGAACAAAGTTTATTAGTCGTTATCAGGGGCAGGAAGAAAGAGGGAGGTGGGAGGGATAACACTGTTGTAATTACTGTTAAGTTGTACACCTGTAAAAAAACTGAATTGGCAAAAGTTGTTTGATACATGTATTTATAACAATAACAAAAAAGACAGAGCAGCTGCTAAGGTTACTCTATGTATCACCAAACACTTCATGGGATTTGGTTCCTTGTTCTGGAGGTTTAGGGTCATGGTTTCATGGGACATCCCAGTTAACTGGCCTAATAACATGTTTAATGCTTCTGTGCTACCTCCTAGTTTGCCATCCAAGGTATAACAATCAGTCTATATTCACCTGGAACAACAGAGGAAGAAGGAGAGTCAGGAATAGGAGGATATGGAATATACGGCTAACTGCTTCCATGAACAAAAGAATTGGAGGGTGCCTGGCTACCATCACTGAACATTTTGATCAAAGATTCCAGAGTGAAATCCTGATCAAAGGGGGGAAAATTAAGAACAGATTTTTAAATTCTCATAAACTCTAGACTTTTTGATGAACCCCTGAATATATTGTCCTAAAAACCAAACAAGTTTAGCTTAACTAGTAAAAAAAAAGTCTGCCTTGAGCATCATGCTTTTTTTAAAGAACTATCTGTATGAAATCAAAGTGACAATAGCAACTTGTGGAACAGAGAGTTTTTGTTAATGAGGGAGGAACAACTCAGAAAAGGAGGACGAGAATGTAATCAATGTCACTAAATGGTATATGTGGAAACTGTTAAATTAGTGTATGTTTTGCTGTGTATATTGCCAACAAAAATATCAAAATAAAATTTTTTGGGGAAAAGGTCCTCTATACATGTTTGTTGTCATTGTTATGTGCTGTTGAGTCTGACCCACAGTGACCCTGTATAGGGTTTCCAAGGAGAGGCTGATGAGCTTGAACCACTGACCTTGCAGTTCAAACTGACATTGTAGTCCAGTGCATTAACCCACAGCACCACACCAGGATTCCCTATACCTATACATGTTTGCCAAATGTTGGAGACCTTTAAGAACTTCTCAATATGTAGCTGGTCAAATAAAAGTATTCTGAGGAGTCCTATAATCAGTCAGAGATAATCTCCGTAATGGTCTATTACCATGAGACATTTACTATAAGAGAGGAGTTGTGGGGAAAAAATTAAAATGAAGCTTTCTGCTCCATTAAAGATTTACAGCCTTGGAAACCCTATGCAGGGTCACTAACAGTCAGAATTGACTCCACAGCACACTAAAACCACTACCACCACAGAGACTATGAAAGTTGAGTGTTACTTATTTTATATGTACATATGTTGTTGTTGTTGTTGTTATGTGCTGTCGAGTCGGTTCCGACCCATAGCGACCCTGCACAGGGTTTCCGAGGGTGTATGTATATATATATATAGCAAGTTGTTAATGAGTTTTCCTCCAATCCTGATGCCATGTTCTTCAGATAAACCAGCTTCTCAGATTATTTGCTCAGCATACAGGTTGAATAACTATGGAGAAAGAAATCAACCCTGTCACATACCTTTCTTCGTTTTAAACCATTCAGTGTTCGAACAACTGCCTCTTGGTCCAGGTACAGATTCCTCATGAGCACAATGAAGTGTTCTGGAATGTTGTCCATAGCTTGTCATGATCCACACAACTGAAAGCTTTTGCATAGTCAATAAAGCACAGGTAAACATCTTTCTGGTATTCTCTGCTTTCAGCTAGGATCCATCGGACATCAGCAATGATATCTTTCATTCCACGTGCTCTCCTGAACCTGGCTTGGAACCTTTAGAAGTTCTCTGTGAATGTATGCTTGCAGCTGTTTCTGTATTACCTCTAGTAAAACTTTACTTGCATGGATATCAAAGAGATTTGCCCGATGATTTCTGCATTCCATTGAGTCACCTCTTTGGGATGGTCATAAATACTGATCTCTTCCAATTGACTGGCCAGATGGGGATAGCTGTCGTCCAAATTTCTTGGCATAGATGACCTAGTGCCACCTCACTTTCTTGAAAGATTGCAATTTTTATTCCATTAATTCCTGGTACCTTGTTCTTTGATCATATGCTACCTCTTGAAATGGCTGAACATCAGTCATTTATACATACATGACTTTGATCAACTTATTTAATCTCTCAGAGCCTCAATTTTTACGGAGCTATAAAATGGGGACAATTGATTCCTTGAGAGGCTACTGTAAGGACAGGAAACAATATATATAAGTACCAAGCACAGTATCAAGTACGCCATCTGCTTTCCATGAATGGTAGTTTTGACTGTTTTACTGTAGATAGTAAACTCCATCAAGGAGGAATTCACCTCCAAAGTTCTGCCTTAGTCCCTCCCTGGCACCAACAACAACTGAATATACTGATGGAGGACCAACCTAGGCTGGCTCATAAACCCATCAGTAGTAGGTATGGACTATACACAGACCACCACCCTAAAGCCAGGGGAACCTCTGGGCCTATGCCTTCGCACTGTCCAGACAACCTAACTGGGCTTCTCTATCATTCATATCCTGCTAGAAACCAGGAACTGGAAGCCTGATTTCCCCACGTTCCTGGGGATTGGATCCTAAATCTCATTCTCCCAGCAGAGGCAAAGGCTCTGCCTGCATCACTTCCAACCTGGATCAACGCTGATGAAACCTTACCAACATCACTTAGAGATCTGAAGTCAATAACTAAGAGTGCCCAAAATCTCCAGCTGGCTTATATCACACCCTACCCTACTCCCTTCCCCCTGACTCAGCACCAAGCCAGATGGGATCTGAAGTCACTGCCTCCACATATGCCATGCCTGGAATGCAACTAGCAAGGGGTTCATCTAGATGATTTTTAAGGTTCCTTTTATGAGTTTACAAATTTTATGAAATTGCCTTTAGGTAGTCTTCTCCACTTAGATCGCTCTAGCAACCATTCATATAACATTAAATATTAAGTGTGTAGAATCAAGGCAAAGTCAGTGTATTTCTTAAACCAGCTTCTGATTAGGGCCATTTTATACATTCCAGTAGAGTTGAAGTAGTTGTAGTAGACATACAGGGAAAATGAGCTGTCTTTATTTGTGATCATTACCTCATCATTTTCAAGAAACACTACTAGCCCCAAAGAAAATGTACTGGCTTTTAAGATTAGCTGGACTCTTATTAACCAATACAATTGTAAGTAATAAATCAAAATTGGATAGTGAATATAACTGTATTCTCACAAATCAGCCATTGAGTAAAAAGGTAAGTTGTACTTACTCTTCCAGGAACCAAAGGGATAGAGGCTTCAGCCTTGGTTCTCTCAGCTTCATCATAACTGGGCAGTGTTGTAGCCACATTGTAAGAGGGGGGCTTTGGAAACCCAGACTCATCTTTGTAGTCAAAATACGCTGCATCAGAAATATAAAATCACAATTATCTGATGATTAGTTGAAATGAGGAATAAAAGGGTTTCTACTAATTCTGGAAAACAAAAACCAGTCATTTCCTAAAGAGTACATATAAAGCAACTGAACCAAAAGATGTTTATAGATGACTGTAAGAAACTAAAAATAATTTTTAAATGTATACACTTCTCAATTATTTAAATTCCAGACTCACTTTGTACCCTCCCTTCCAACTGCTTTTCATGACATTTTACAAAAAAGTGTTCCTAAAAAGTGCTGCAATGAACATTCAGTATTAATACTGGTTAGGGAAACATTTAATCTAAATATCCTAGATTTAAATGTATGTAAATGTGTACTGTGGTTTCCTCCCATTTTGCAGTGAAAATCAGCTCTTATAAATAAATACATAAAAGGTTAAAATTTCTTTCTCACAGTTTTGTTTTGGTACTTTGACTCGTCTACATTTTGTATATCATATCTTTTCTTCTCTAATATATCTAAGATAAATGATTCACTTGTTGTTCTTATTAAGTGCTGTGGAATCAAGCCGAACTCACAGTGACCCTGTGTAGGGTTTCCAAGGTTTCAAATCTTTGTGGGAGTTGAAAGCCTCATCCTCTTTTGCCAGCAGAGTGGATGGTGTGTTCAAACTGCTGACCTTGTGGTTTTCAGTCCAGTGTTTATATTATGGACAGGACCCTATTTATCCATATTAAATCTTTCATCTTCTTAACACTGCATCTTCATTATTATTAGTCTCCGTTTTAAATGACTTACTGGACGTCCATATACAAAATATTCATCTTGATTCCCTACTTCATATTACACAGAAAAATCAATTCCAGGTGGATTGCAGATATAAATGAGAAAAATAAAATAACAAAGCTTTTAGAAAAAAAATATAGGAAAAATGTATTATAGGATTTAAGTTGCTCTACAACCTCATTTCTGGAACTTATTTTTTTTTTTCTATACTAAAACAGCTATAAAAAAATATATAATATATGAGGGAATTTTTAAAAGTTCATGGAACACATGGAATTAAAAGATAAGGCATTTTTTCACAAACTCTTTGAAGCCCCTTCATATATATTCAAATATACACATACATGCATACGTATGTATACATTATAAAACACGCAACATTAATTTCCTATAAAATATCTTTTCACTAAAAAACTCAAGTCACACTTGACAAGATGACATTTCAAATTTGAAACATATAATTTGAATTGCCCCATTGCACAGTAGTTCTGAATACATTAATAAAACAAATGCGTACTACTTTAACGTAAATCCATAAACATTTTTATGTGCCTGTTTTGAAAGATTTTTTTTAAAATGTGCCCCATTAATATGACTATTTCATATCTTAAATTTCCATGAAATGTTTAATATGACAATTAAAAAAAATTATCATTCAAAGCAAAACAAAAGATTCAATATTTGTTAAACTGTTTCAAATCTATACACCACAAAATAAAATAGCCATAAGTAAAGCAAATATACAAAAGAAAAATTTGAGCTTTTCCTCCCAACATATGAGAGTACGTCAAAAAGTATTGCTACAATCATAGAATCCTTTGCTTTTGTGTACCATCGAGTAAATTCCAATTCATAACGAACCTATATAGTCTCCAAGGCTACAGATCTTTAGTGACACAGAAAGTCTGATCTTTCTTCCAAGGAGTAGCTGCCAATTCTAACTGCTAAACTTGAGATTGACAGTTGAATGCATAGTCCACTACCACCACATCAGGACTCCTTTATAACAAAATGTGAAGCTACTGTTATTCACCATAATTATCCATCTAGGTCTATGTATTTCTTAAGGCAATGTTTCCATCTTTCTAGTACTGGTGTTTCGCCATAGGATAAGCACTGGATTGCTAACCTCAAGGTGACCGGTTCACATCCACCAATCACTCCTTGAAAACCCTATGCTGTTGTTGTTAACACCATTGAGTCAGTTCCGACTCACAGTGACCCTGTATAGGATTTCCGAGGAGTGGCTGTTGAGCTTAAACCTCCAACTTAGCAGTTTTGTTGTTGTTAAGTGCTGTGGAGTCGGTTCCAACTCATAGCGACCCTGTGCAGCATTTCTGAGGCTGTAAATCTTTATGGGAGCAGAAAGCCTCATCTTTCTCCCGCGGAACAGGTGGTAGTTTCAAACTGCTGACCTTGGGGTTCGCAGCCCAATCCGTAACCACTATGCTACCAGAGCACCGACCTTACAGCAGAGACTCAAATTAAGTTCAGAAGCTCAAATTAAGTTCCTCTTAAATGTTGAGTTTTGGAAAATAACAAATGATGGGAAGATGTGGAGAAACTGGAACCATAAACTTATCCATTGCTGGAGGGAATGCAAAAATGGTACAGTGATTATGAAAAAAACAATGTGGCAGTCCACAGGAAGAAAAAAAAAACTAAAAATAGTACTACTATGTTGTTATTGTATGCTGTTAAGTCAGTTTTGATTTATAGTAACCCTGTATAGGGTTTCCAAGAAGCAGCTGGTGGATTTGAACAGCCGACCTTGTGACTAGCAGTCTAGTGCTTATCCTACAGCCAGTACTACCATATGACCCAGTAATTCCACTCCTAGAATTATGTCCCAAAGACATAAAACCAGACTCAAAAAGAGTACTGTACACCAATGTTCACTGCAGCACTATCCCCAATAGCCAAAAAGTCTAAACAACCTACATGCCAATCAACAAAAGACTAGATAAATAAAATGTGATGCCTGGCATATCGGAAACCCTGTACAGGGTCACTATGAGTTGGAACCAACTCCACGACACATAACAACAACAACAACCTGGCATACAGTGGAATACTACTTAGCCAGTAGGAAAAATGAAGTCTTTATATATATTAGTATGATGGAGCATGAAGGCATCATAATGAGCGAAACAGGACACTCACAAAAGGATAAAGACTGCATGACCTCACCTAACCTGAATTGGGGAAAGTGTGACAGGTATATTCACAACAACAAGAAAGAAACGAATAACTGCTGTGTCTGATTATGCACAACCAAATACCTCATGGGATTTGGTTCCTTGGTTTGGAGGTTTAAGGCCAGATTTTCATGGGATATACCCCCAATTAATTGGCCTGATGCTGCCTCCTTTGCCATGAGACCAGAACTGGTACGAAGCTACCATTACTGAACATTTTGATCAAAAATTCCATATAAGAACCCTGATCAAAAAGAGAAAAATGCAGAACAGAATTTTAAATTCTCAGTCTAGACTTTCTGAAGCCATGAAGGGTGGCTCTATAAAAGGTTGAAACTATTATCCTGAAATAATCTTTAAACCTTGTACCAAAAATATCCCTGAAATCTTAAAACCAAACAATGTTCTTGTTAAGTGCCGTGGAGCTGGTTCTGACCCTTAGTGATCCTGTATAGAGTTTCTGAGGAGCAGCTGGTGAGCTTGAACCATCAACCCTGCATGCCTGCCTTGAGCATTTATGCTTTTTTTAAGAACTACAATATGGGATATTAAAATGATAACAGTAACTCAAAAGAGTAGATAAAAACCCTTGGGAGCAATGAATTTATGTTAAGGGAAGAAAAGAAACTCAGAAAAGGAAGGTGAGAAAAGTCACACAATTCAAAAACGTCATTAATGTCACTAAATTAAATAAAATTATATATACAAGTCCATTGGCTTAGCGAATAATGAACTTGCAGTCAGAGAGGTGGGAAAATTTGGGAATGGCTAATGGTAATGTTTAAGCAATATAATGAATGTTTTAACGTCACTGAACTATATATAAAGAAGTCCTGGTGGTGTAGTTAAACGCTCAGCTGTTAACCAAAAGGTGGGCGTTAGAGCCCACCAGACCCTCTGTGGGGGAAGAACATGCTAGTCTGCTTCCATAAAGATTTACAGCTTTTGGAAACCCTATGGGGCAGTTCTACTTGGTTCTATAGGGAGGCCTATGAGTCTGTGAGAACGGACTCGGTGGCAAAATGGTTTTGGTTTTCTTGGTTTTGAACTATTATCTATGAGGATTGTTGAAATGGCAAATGTTTTGCTACCTATATATTTAACTCACAAACAAAAGCCCATCGGGATAAAACTGAACTGCATGAAAAAACAAAAACAAAAAACCACAAAAAAACCAAGCAAACATTAAAATGAAGTTTCATCTGTTTCTTGGAGCAGGAACATGTTTTTTTTTTTCCCCTTAAGTTATAAGTAAACTAAAAAATAAGTGTAAAATTTCTTAAGGAACGTTGAAGTAAAGGCAAACACCAAGAAATAGACACAGGAAAACCTACGGGTAGAGCAGTAAGGAGCTCATAATCACCCCCCTACTTACCTGCACTCTCGGCAGAGAGACTGCTGTATGGTGGAGGGGCATCACATCCAGTCTGCTCAGGCTCGCCAGGCTCTTCCTCATTCTGCAACTAAATGAAGATTTCACATTTTAATGAGTCAAAAGGTATTTGGCATTGTTTCTCAAACACTTTTAAAATGTGACAAACCTGCTAGCAAAAAGTTCTCATGCTAACAATTTATCCTACAGAAATAAAGAAAAAGAAGGGAAAATAGGTATAAATGCTATTGCAGCAAAAAAAATAAAAACCACCCTTTGAAATTCTAATCAAAGGGGACTTCTTAAAAAAATTATAGTGCCTTTATAAAGGACTAATAATGCAACCATTAGTAATGAAAATGAAGACCATTTGAAGACATAAAGAGCTAGTTATGGTGAACTGTTATATGTAAAAAGTTATTTAGCAAATGATACACATCATATGATTCTATTTTTGTTTTGGAGAAGAGATACATGACACAAAGGTCTAGGGTGATACCTGAAGTTCAACCTGATTTTTCTCTAGATGATGACATTATAAAGAAACATTTCTATGTTGTTTATATATAAGGGGGCTTAAAAAAAGTTCAAAGAAAAATGGAATTTAATAAAAACAATTTTTCCACTAACTTTTTTGAAACCCCCTCATAAACATGTTATTTTTTATGATGATTATTTATCTCTTACATGATTTTTAAAATCAGGTTATTTTTTAAATAACCTGCTAAGGCAAGGTCAAACTAAGGAAATCAAGTTCACCATTACATTCGGTTTGTACATAAAAAATTAAATTATAAATAACTGAGGCATTTAGAAAGATGTAACACATTCTACTTAATTCTATTTAAAACTTCCACCAATACATCTCCCTCTTCCTGATCTTAGCAGCATTCTTGCTAGGCAGAGTCAGGACTTCCTGAAAGTCATTAGTAGTCTGGATTGATCTTGTTGTTGTTGTTAAGTGCCCATGAGTCAGTTCTGAGTGGCTAGTGAGGTAGAACTGCAGGCCTTGTGGTTCAAACCAAAGTTGCAGTCCAGTGCATCTATGCAAATTATCTTCACAGAAGACATTTGAATTTTACTAGTGTGTCAATACACTAGATTCACTGACAAGATCAGTTGTGTAGGGTAGGGAGTCAGAAATAATAATAGAATATTTCTTGATGCGCCTAACTTGGGGGTCTGGCACCTGATTCCATTATGATCATGCTGCATAGTGTCAATTGAACCACTTGTAAAATGTTGCTGCTGTTAGCTAGTTAAGTCAGCCTGACTTCATGGTGACCTCAAGCACAACAGCAAAAACTGCACAGTCCTGTACCGTCCCTATGACCAGCTGCAGATCTAAATGTTGTCATCCGCATGTAGAAAAATCAGCATCTCTGAAGCTTAACAGAGTGTGGTGCTGTGGGTGAATGCACTGGACTGCAAAGTCAGTTTGAACTACAAGATCAGCAGTTCAAGCTCATCAGCTGCTCCTCGGAAACCCTATACAGGATCACTATGGGTGGGAACTGACTCAACGGCACTTAACAACAATGATGTTGAACGTTGAACGGGTTTCAGCAGAGCTTCCAGACAACAGACAAAATGAACTAGGAAGAAGGGCCTGGTGTGCTACTTCTGAAACATCCTTAAACCACACTGCTACAGAAAAACTCTACAGTTGACCTTTGAACACAGGTTTGAATTGCGCATGCATGTTCACTAGATTTTTTGTAATATACAGATTTTTTTAACCAACACTGTTTGATGCTAATCATCTCCACAGGAGCAGTTCATCTCTCCAATAAAATGAATACTGTAGTAAACAATGATCTGTCATGGTTCTAGCATAGTTTTCATCTTGTAATTTTAGGGCAATACCATAAACCTTGAACAACACCATGGGACTCATGGGACTAGTGATTCTGGAAATGTTCCCAAGAAGCAGAGAAAAATCATGACATTACAAGAAAAAGCTGAACTGTTTGATATGTACCATAGATTAAGGAGGTCTGCAGTTCAGTGAGGTCTTTCAAGATAAGTGAATGCAACATAAGGATCATTGTAAAAAAAAGAAAGAAAATTCATGAAGTCATAGCTGCAGCTATGCCAAGGTTTATACCTTGTACTTTTTGTGAAATACGTTTTTATCTATACTGAAAATGCAGCTTTTATGGGAGTACAGTATAATTCATGTTGTTATTGAGTGCCATTGAGTCAGCTCCAACTCATAGTGACCCTGTATAGGGTTTCCAAGAAGCAGCTGGTGGATTTGAACTGGCCACCTTGTGATTAGCAGCCCAGTGCTTTATTCCCACAGCGTCACACAGGACTCCATACATATAACATACAAAATATATACTGTTTCTGTTATCCGTAAGGCTTAGCCTACTTCACCATCAGAGCTCCTTATTCAATACTTGTTCAGTGCCATCGAGTCGGTTTCGATTCACAGTGACCCTGTGTAGTGTTTCTGAGGAGTGGCTGACTGGTAGGTTTGAACTACCAACCTTGTGGTTCAAACTGATTTTACAATACAGTGCTTATCCTATAGCAGCACATCAGAACTCCTATTCTATACTAGATACAAACAAAACTTTTCTGATAAATATAGCAAAACTCTCGATTTCAAAGCCATGAATTTCTATGGCAAATTCTCATCTATGTTTACCATCTGGGCATATTTTTGAGAATCCTAATAATCTAATGTTAAACTTGAGGCACTCACAGAATAAATGTATTCTGTAATCTTAGACGGATTTTTCTTTAAATGATAATGTTTGGATAAAATAATTAGGAGAGAGCCCCTGGGCCATGATTCACTTGGAATACTTGTTTTAACATCATCTGAAGCTCTAGATAAGAGTATTCAAAGCCTTACTGTACCCGAATACTTGTGCTCATAGGAAGAAGCAAAGGAGCAGCAACACCAGAGGAAAATACTTTTTAAGAATCTGCCTTAATCTGTTGTTGCCATTAATGTTCCTTATTTAAAACCTAGCTCAATCTTTATGACCCATTTTTATATTTCCTGAGCTTGGTCAAATTAATCATGTTACTTTTGCATAATTTAGGTTTCAGAAAGGAAAAGGAAGCATGACAATTCTAAGAAATGCAAAAGTCCACAGAATAAAGAGGCCTTACAAACCAGTATCTACAAGATAGGTGCCTGTCTCCTAGCAACCTGAAAATGTGAAATGTGATCATCCCACACCATAGGCTCAGATAAAAGCAGAAAAATTCCAACCTTCTCACAAACACCCATTTTCTTTTTGGAGAGGAAAAAAAGAACCACTTCCAGGTTGAAGGCTCTACTCCATTAAAATTCCCATTTCAGAATCATGTACCAAGAATTTTTTTTTTTTTCCAACAGAAACATGTGTGTGTGTGTGTGTGTGTGTGTGTGTGTGTGTATATATATATATATATATATATATTCATGATGACTATGGGAGCACCACACTTTGGGATGACCTCATCATCTCACTTATCAGAGGTCACATTCTGGCTTGTTTCTATACTGCTGGTGATACTCCATTAAGAATACTGTTTAAAATAAAATTCTACAATGGGAAATGAGTAGGATTGTGGAAATCCTACTCAATGGGAAATGAGTAGGATTTCCAGAATCACTAGTGGCACTTTGTATGAGTCCCATGGTGTTGTTCAAGGTTTATGGTATTGCCCTAAAATTACAAGATGAAAACTATGCTAGAACCATGACAGATCATTGTTTACTACAGTATTCATTTTATTGGCGAGATGAACTGCTCCTGTGGAGATGATTAGCATCACATAGTGATGCTAATCATAATGAGGCATCTGGGTGAATAACAACTTGATCAACAATGAGATCCATAAAGTTACAGCCTCACAAACTCTGGCAGCATTTTGCTTCTGCCAGCCAAATAAACTGAAGCCCTAACAGCACAGTGGATTACTAGTGGGGCTGCTAACTACAAGGTCAGCAGTTCAAATCTACCAGTTGCTCCTGCCTCCATAAAGATTTACAGCCTCAGAAACTCTGTACAGAGTCGTTATGAGTCAGAACCGACAGCACATGACCACCACCACAGCCAAACAAGTCAGACACTCAATAACAAAAATAGAATATGCACACTTGAACTAAACTGAATTTTTCTATGTTAAGTTGTTTTTAAGTGTCGTCAAGTCAGTTCTGACTCATGGCAACCCTGCATAGAGTTTCTGAGGAGCAGATGGTGAACTTGAACCGCCAACCTTGTGGTTCAAACCGGCTTTGCAATCCAGTGCATTATAATACTCAGAGTGCCACACCAGGACTCCAAGTTTTATAAAATTGGTTACTTGGTTCCAAAAATTACTTTTAAGGGTCCCTTTTACAATTCCTGGGACTTGCCCTGTGCAGGCCTCCTCACCATGAACCTGGGATTCAGAGATCTTCAGGCTCTCTCCAGAGGCTCCCTCACAGAGGCAGGTCTGAGGAAGTGGGTCTTTCTGTTCTATCAGTATACTGTGCTATTGGGCAGGGATGGAGATGTCAGACTTTGCTTACCTGACTTACAAGTAATAAAATCTACTAGAGACTCTCGTATACAGTTTTTAAAACATTCAGATCAGTTTTATTTATCTCCAAATAAAATTAATTTCTTTTCCAAGTGGGAATATGCAGTTACCTAAATGCTATATTAAGTACTGAGTTTGGTCACATCTAACCACCTACCTTTCTAGTCCCGAGCTAAGAATACAGCAATCATCTGAACTTTTTGATTGCTTTCTCTTTGCCACACTCAGTGCCCTCACTTCCACTTCCCTGATTACTCGTGCTCCTCTCTATATTCGGAACGGACTCTGTCATGACACCCCAGAATAACCCTAAAATTCTTCTAAGTTCCCTTTTTAGATATTTCACAATTAAGAGGCCATGGTACGTCTCTCTTGGCCTTGACCATCTTCAATTAAAAATGTACGTGTATGTGTGTGTATATGTGTGTGTGTGTGTGTGTGTGTATATATATATATATAATTTATATTTATTTGTATAGTTTATATATGTATAGTTTGTATGTATAGTTTATATATATGTATATGGAGTCCTGGTTGACACTGTAGAATAAGCACTGGACT